AGGAGAACTGGGCATCCCCATGACCGGTTTGAATTAAAAATGGCTGGACAGGAAGAAGACAAAGCAAGAAAGAAAGGAAAATAAGAGAGAAAAAGAGTGAGCAACAGACATCTCCCTCTCCGCACCACAGACTCTCATATGCTTGCATACGGTGATGGATATGGGAAGCCTGAAAAGAGGGATATCAATGTATCACATCAATCAATAAAGGTGTTGGGGTGTGCAAACTCACATGAAAGTCAGTGTTATCCTGAAGGTCAGCAAAAAAAGGACCAAATCCAACCTTCTAAAGGTCATTGCCCCTCCTACAGATCAGACAGGGAAAAGAAAGGGTATGGGGACAAGAGGGCAGATTCTCTCCACTTTTACAAGACCTCCCATTTTTCCACCTGATCAGCGTTCTGGTCTGGAAAGAAATGCATTGGTGGGGGTGGATGCATAGCAGAGACAGGATAAGGCCCTCCATTGTACTCTGCTGCCACTGGTTTTCTCTCCCTGCATACAGATCTCTGTCTTGAAACCAGCCACCTGGCCAAAGACTTCAAAACAAGAGGGTGTAGGGATGCAGAAAATGCCAGAAAATTTTATTTTCATGGATGCCTGCATCCAAAGAGACGGCTACCAGTTGGAGTATTCTCCCTCTTCCCAGGGAAGCTGAACTTTGTATTCATTGAGTTGTAGAACCAGGAGTCTCTAAAAAAGAATTCTCAGCAGTGTACGGAACTGCCTGCCCTGACCTGGATGGACTAGCCTAGCCCAATTACGTCAGATCACGGAAGCTAAGCAGGGTCAGCTATAGTTAGTGTTTGGATGGGAGACCACCAAGGAACTCCTGGGTCACTATGCAGACACGGGCTATGGCAAACAACCACTGGACATCTCTTGCCCTGGAAACGCTATGGAGTCACCATAAGTTGCCTATGACTTGATAGTGCTTTACACACACACACACACACACACACACACACACACACACACAGAACACGAACTACAATTCCCAGGATTCTTTGAGGGACGCTGTTAACCAAAGGGGAAGATAACTAGCATAGGTTTGAAGTGTACACAAGAGTTCAGACTTTCCGACCCCAGCGTGTCTGCACTGAAATTCTGGATTCTCTTTCCAGTCCTCATGGGTGACAGGAACTCATGGGAATTATACATTTTGAAAAAATATAAGAACAACGGCTCCCTGCCACTTGACCCGATATTTCTATGGCACAGCACCTCAATAATCCTTACACATTACAACAGCCCTGTAATGGAGGACGACTGCATTACCCCCACAATACCAAGGGAGCAACAAGGATAAGGCTGACTAATAGCTCATCTATTAAGCCGTAAGGTCGCTGCATAGCATTTGGGTGCTCCTCATCCTTTTAACCACCAGCAGCTCTTGAGTCCAGGAAAGAACTGACTACCAATACAGAGATACGCAAACCAGGACGTCTACCAAGCTGAAGAGCACATCTGTACGGCCCAGTCACTCCCCAGCTAAGTAGAGTCTTTTATCTCTTCACAGCATGCCGGACACTCACAGAAGCCTTCTGATAAGGACTGGCAACTGCCGAGAGCAGGTCTCGCGGTGGCTCCCGGCTTGCAACTGCAAGGAGACTCAGAAAGGCATTTCCAGTTGCCTACGTGCCAACCAAAGGAGCAGAGTGCTTTTCGGAGCTGGCAGGGGCCAGCTGGCCTCCTGTTATTAGCACCGGAAAAGCTGGCAGGCAGGCTTCACCTGGAACCGCTAAGCGAGAAAGCGACAAAGAGAGAGCTTGCAGGGGCTGTGCTGGTGAATTGAAGTCACCTTCCCCGAGGGAGGAAGCGAGAGAAAGGAAGAGGGGGGAGCCCCTCCGAGCAGCAGACACTGGCTGAGTCACACAACCGCCTCCTGCTAACCAAAACTCACAGCCTGCTGCCCTTCCCTCCTTAGGCCTTTTCTCCTCCGTGTAAATTGCCCATTGTCCTGTGAACATTCTGGCTGCAAAGTCATGAACGGTCAGGAGAGAGCCGTCGCCTTCATACTCTCTTTGTAGGAGGACTTTCCCAGAGTTATCTGGTTGCCCACTCTTGGAAACAGGAAAATGGGGTAGATGGACCTTTGGTCCAGTGCAGCCTACTCAGTTTCCAGGGGAGGACAGAGCTGTGAGCCACGATAGCTGAACGGAGATGCCTTGTTCAAAGGCAGTCTACCTCCCGTTGCCAGGTGCAGCGAGCAAAACAGTGGGGGAGAGCTGCTTAGGCATTATTTAGCTCTGTATTCTCCTCCTCCAGAACAGCCTGAAGAGGCTTAGCAGACCAAGATTAAAATCACAGTAAGAGATTTGCAAAAAGTCACACTAAAAATACACCGGGCAAGAATAACAAATTACCTAATCAACACATTTGTTTGTTGATGTTTTAAAAGTCCAAATGCCCTTTGGAAAAGAACAGATTTACATGCAGGAGGGATGAAGCAATCTGGGCTCCGTCTGACATGTTGTTTCAACAGACCGGGGGCGTCAGAGTGGAGGACTGAGCCCTCCCTAAAGCCAGGCGTTCTCAGCTGCTGGTGGGAACAGGAGGCTGGGCTAGCTGGGTGTCGTCGGCCTGATCCTGGAAGACGGAACTCACATTATGCTTTGAGATACTTATCTACTCCGTCTGTATCCCACCTTTCTCCCCAGTGGGGACCTAAAGCCAACATCATAATGCCCCTATATAAATCAATGGTGCGACCTCATTTGGAATACTGTGTGCAGTTCTGGTCACCACACCTTAAAAGGGATATTATAGCTTTGGAAAAAGTGCAGAAAAGGGCAACTTGAATGATAAAAGGGTTGGAACACTTTCCCTATGAGGAAAGGTTCAAGCGCTTGGGGCTTTTTAGCTTGGAGAAACGACGACTGAGGGGAGACATGATTGAGGTTTATAAGATTATGCATGGGATAGAGCAGGTACTTTTCTCCCTTTCTCACAATGCAAGAACTCAGTGGGCACTCCATGAAATTGCTGAGTGGTCGGGTTAGAACGGATAAAAGGAAGTACTTCTTCACCCAAAGAGTGATTAACACTTGGAATTCACTGCCACAGGAAGTGGTGGCGGCTACAAGCATGGACGGCTTCAAAAGGGAATTAGATAAGCATATGGAGCAGAGGTCCATCAGTGGCTATTAGCCACAAGGTATAGAGTGGCTATTAGCCACAAGGTCTAGATAGGGACTCTGGGGCAAGTGATGCTCTGTCTTCTTGGTGCTTGGGGGGGGTCAACAGTGGGAGGGCTTCTAATGTCCTGGCCCCACTGGTGGACCTTCTGATGGCACTGGTATTTCTGGCCACTGTGTGATACAGAGTGTTGGACTGGATGGGCCGCTGGCCTGATCCAGCATTGGCGTCTCTTATGTTCTTATGTTCTTAAAGCAGCTTACATCATTCTCCTCACCTCCCATTTTATCCTCACAACAACACTGTGAGGGAGGTTAGGCTGAGAGTGTGTGAGTGGCCCAAGGTCACCCAGCGGACCTGCATGGCACCGGTGGGAATTCAACCCCAGGTTTAAGAACATAAGAGAAGCCAATGTTGGATCAGGCCAATGGCCCATCCAGCCCAACACTCTGTCACACAGTGGCCTAAAATACCAGGGGCCAATGCTCCCTATAAGCTGTGGAGTCTTGTGAGCAAAAATTCTACTTTGTGAGCTGCCGGCATTAAAGTTGTGGGAAAGTTTGCTCTGGAGCCCTCCTTCCTGAGCTAAGACAAAAATGTGTGAGCTGGAAGCTTAAAAACTGTGAGCTGGCTCACACTAACTCAGCTTAGAGGGAACACTGCCAGGGGTCATCAGGAGGTCCAGCAGTAGGGCCAGGACACTAGGAGCCCTCCCACTGTTGCCCCCACAGCACCAAGAATACAGAGCATCACTTGCCCCAGACTGAGAGTTCCCATCTATACCTTGTGGCTAATAGCCACTGATGGACCTCTGCTCCAGATGTTTATCTAATTCCCTCTTGAAGCCGTCCATGCTTGTAGCCACCACCAGCTCCTGTGGCAGTGAATTCCAAGTGTTAATCACTCTTTGGGTGAAGAAGTACTTCCTTTTATCCGTTCTAACCCAACTGCTCAGCAATTGCTCAGCAATTAAGTGCCCACAAGTTCTTGTATTGTGAGAGAGGAATGTACTTCTTTTTCTACCTGCTCTATCCCATGCATAATCTTGTAAACCTCGATCATGTCACCCCTCAGCTGTCATTTCTCCAAGCTAAAGAGCCCCAAGCGTTTGCCCAGACACTAGTCCGAAACTCTTAAGCACTGTGGCGACACAGGCAGGAAGTTCAGCGGCAACCAGAGAGCCAGAGTGGTGCAGGAGCTCAATCATCAGACTAGGGGCTGGGAGACCCAGGTTCAAAGCCCTACTCTGCCGTGGAAGCTCGACTGGGTGAGACTTTGGGTCAGTCGCTCACTCTCTCTTGCCGTATCCTGTGCCACAAGATTACTGCGAGGACAAAACGACGTGGGAGGGAGCAATGCTGTTAAGTCACTTTGGGTGGAAGGAAGTCAGGTGTAAATATTCAAAAAGAAAGATTTCCCCCCCACGACAGTGGAATTTGTTGGCACAAGGATGCTGTGGCAAATGCCAGCTCAAGCAGCTTTTTTTTTTTTTTTAAAGGGATGGTCAGGGAATGTTAGCTTTGTCAGACATAGAGATGTAAAATTTCCAGAAATTTTGAAGCTCGGAAAAAACCCCGGTTTTTTCCCGGTTTTTTTCGGAAAATAAT